AGTTCAAATATTGGTAGGTATGCAAAGAAGGTCCACCCAAACCTGATATACAATGACCCACTTAATCCTACCTGCCAATGGAGTTCACTGGTTAAATAATAAACAACAAGCCCCTGTTCTCCTTTTAAATAGAGGAATCTTTCAAGGTGTGAGTAAAGTAAGAGAATGAGTGGGCAGTGGGCTTATGTGCCAACAAACGTCTTTTCCCAATATTTTTTCCCACCCTCTTTAGTAGCATGCCATTCTCTGGACAATTATAAATAGTGGAGTCCCAAAAACAAAAAATAAAAAGCTTCTTCTGGCACTAGCAATTACACAGCACACACTTTAAACCAGGGGTGCCCAGAAGGTAGATTCCCAGATGTAGAACTACAACTCCCATTGTGCTTTGCATGCCTTTAGAATGACAAAGCATCACGGAAGTTGTCGTTTTAGAACATCTGGGGATCTACCTTTTGGGCACCCCAGCTTTAAATGATATAGTGCCAGAAGTATGCAAATCTCCTCAGGTAAAACCTAAAGAAAAATTTATTTCTTAAAGAGCCATTTTAATTCTTCCCCATTTGCCAGTCTATTTTATTGGTCTTGCCCTTTGAGCCAGTCTAAGCATAATGTCCCCTTTACAGGTAGACACATCAAATGTAACACTCACCATTCTGAGCCATTGTAAGACTTTAATCTTTACTCCACAGTAAATTAGGAAAAAGTTAAATACACTTTTCTTAGTTAAATCTAAGCTTTTCTCTCTCTGAATCAGTCTCCTCCCCTCAATTTAATACTAACATGAGGCAGGTTAACAAAAGAACGTAATCACCCTAGAATTGTCACATGTGTGAAAGGTTTCTGATTTTTACACTATGGGGGTTAAATGAAAAAGTGTCATGTTCTGAAAATTGGTCTACAGATGTAAAACCAGGTGACGTCACCAATGGACTGGGCCTGCTGGTTGCATTTGTTTCCATGCGATTTTCCCAGTTTTAGTACTTTAAACCACTTTTTTTTGGTACTTTAAACAGCTCTTTTATACATAACTCTCTATATGCTTAGCTGTCCTGACACATTCTGAGCATACAAACTAAATAAATTTAACCTCCACAGTACCATGCAAGCTGACACCATGAAGCTGTGTGGTTGCATGTGGCACTTTGAAAGGGATGCTCGAGTGTGTACCTACCTGAACAAATTATGTATTATTATTATTTTTTTTTAAATCTTTCTTTTATTATGGCATTTGCCTTATGGGGTACAGAAAAAAAGAGAGGAGACATTGTGGGGTAACATAAGTTAATGGTATCAAGATGGTGTATGTTGCACTCCCAAGAAAGACAGACATTTATTTTTTTATTTTTTTTAAAGTCAAACAAACATATTAACACATGCAATTGTTTAGGAAATGAGTGCAAGAGATACTTAAAGGTCGCTCCGAAGGTAGTTTTCGTATGCACAGTACAACAAGTTTTAACACTAAGAACATGCATGCAGTAATGGTTGAACTCAAGCCTATAGTAAAACAAAAGTATGCATGCTTCATGTTATGAGCTTGCCATTGATAACTTTCGCCAGTCAGCTTTAGACTAACATGCCCGGGGGCAATTATGTAAGTCGATGTCGATTGTAGTAGGCTAGGGACCAGACTTGCAGCTCTAAACATCAATGTAGATGATATGACAAATGAATATAACGCATTTTTAACATGGGCTGCGGTAAAAGTAACAGTTAAAGGCAAATCACTGAAACATACATAAGTAGGACATAAAGAATAGCTTAATGCAACAGCGAAGTGATACCAGTAGGCCACGTGGTAAGCGTGTCTGCGGGTGGAAGTCCAGCCAGGAGAGTCCATGTAGGCCATTCAAGCCAGATCCCCCAGTGCCCACGGCATAGAGTGTTGTAAGTGGAACTAAAATATGTATTATTGTATGTGCCAACAATGTTGCCCTGGACACAGAAAAGCCTAGGACATAATTGAGGTAGCGGCTGCCGTTTCGTAGTCATTGCCCGTCCTCTCAAACTAAATAGCTATCTTCTATCTTTTTTCCACAACTTCACGCTGTTAGTGACTCTTACATTATTTTATAAAAAAGTTGATTAAGGGGGGCAGGGCCTGACAGCCGAGATGGCAGGACGTGTGCACAGAGAGCTCCAACACAAACAGGCTTAAAACTGGCTCACCAGGACGGGCACATTCCTGCACATATGGTGGGAATGCCCAAAAGTGGTCCCCTACTGGCAAATGATCAGTAAGGTGCTACAAATGTTCTCTGACAACCCACCCCCCTTCAAACCTACCGCATACCTCCTACATAACACTATGACCCCGACAGCCAAATATAGAAATCCCAGACTATATGGATACTGAACACAGCGAAACATATCTTGCCCCTATATTGGAAGACAGACACACCCCCTCCGTTAACGACCTGGTTAGAGAGAATGGAGAAACTGCATACTGCCCAGATTTTCAAAGCATGCTGACATATAGCTGACAGGGGGGTGACATGGGGAGTGGGGAGGAAGACACTCAGGCATTGACCCAGATGTAGAGGGAATCTCGGGTCGCTGCCCCATCCAAGATGATGACCAATGCTCCTCCAACATGGGCCGCCGCTCATGCCTACACCATCACATACCGGGGGGCGGGGGATGAGGGCACACACAAGAACCAACCAGGCAGCAGGCACCAGAGGTGGGCGGGTAGTCTACAGGATACCATAGGATATACCATGACAGTACCCATAATACCTAAACATATGTTTTTATACTTTGATTTGACATATACGCTGGTTTGTAACCTTCACAACATTTATGATGTACAGTATAGATTGTTTTCCCTGAACTGCTTATTTGCCTCTCGAAGCCCTGCGTGGCTAGCTGGTTGAAGTATATTTGCATGCCATGGACCTGCGAGTCCTACCTCTTTACTGCAACTTAAAACGTAAAGATAAGTTCAATTAAAAATATTGATACAGATGTAATAAAAAAAAAAAAAAGGTTATGTTTTAATATTTACGCATTAAGGTTGCACGTTGGGAGCGCAGCCAAGCAGCCAAGAACTCCAGACGTGTTCAGCACAAGCTCCCACGTCTGGGGACAAAGACCAGGGTGCTTTACCCGGCCATCGACACTCACAGACCGCAGACCACAATATTTACACGTGGGAGAGGCTGCTGCATCGAACGGTGCCTCTCTCGAGCTCCTGTGTAGTCAGCTTGACACACCAAGGCTTGCGGTCTACATGAGCTTAAGTCACGGAGAGACGGCCACTCTCTGGGCACATAAGCACTAGTTAGGACCCCAGTGAAGCACCTTCCCCTCCACCCCGGACTAGCGGGGGTCATCCTGGCCCACACAAAGCAGCGTCACTCACTTTGCTGATTGCAGGAAACTGGTATTGCACAATCCTGAGAAGCAACAATATTATTCAAAATGGCAGACCTGCCCTCTTCACGCGACAAGCAGCAGCTGGCCAAGCAGAACGGGTGTACCAAGATAGATTGCATGCTACAGCACCTGGGTGAGATACTTGGCCGTTTCTGGCGGCAGTTGGAGGTACGTGCGACAGCAGCAGCTGGGGACAGAGGAGCAAACAGAGGTGAGCAGAAGTTGGGGTGCACGAGGCCCATATGGGGACCCCCTCCCACCAAACACCCAAGCCACACATACCCAGCCCACCTGGCCAGAGATCCAAAAGGGATTCCCTCCCAAAGCATCCCCCACAGAGGCAGAAGCGTAGACCTCGCAAGAGACAACCGACCACCCAGAGCTTCTCACCTCTCAGAGAGGAAGGACTTGGACTCGACTTAGAGCCCAGGTCCGGACCCCAGGTCCGGGGTACATTGATGCAGGCCCTCAGTAGCTTCCAGGGACTTTCTAGCTATACCAAGCCTAGGCATTAGCTGACATTGCCCTACGTTCCCGAGCACGACACCCATGTCTCCCCAGGACATGCTGCTACATTTTTGCCCCTCTGCACCCAGGCTGACGATACTGTTAAATTTGAGTTTTAGTGACTTTTAGTTGCCTGCCTATATCTAAACATGTGCTACAAAAAATGTAGGGGGTTCCAGGGGTTAAACCCGCTATTAGCCTGTTATTATATACCCAGCTAGCATGTTATACATTCTAATCAGCATCAGAAAGCCTAGCATAGGCAACTATTTCGGTAAAAGGGAAAATAACATAGGAACCGTACGGACAGGGAAATGCACGAACAAACAGACGAATGAGCATAAAATAAAAGTAATTACAAGATAGAGGGATCTGTCACAACCAGGATGAGTCTCTACCAAACAGGAGTGTTCTTTTAAATTTGAAAATTCCCCTGTCAATGCCTGGTCTAGTGAATAGCGTGGTGGTAGTGATTTATTTCCAGTACCTCTCCATCACATCTATGGGATTTAAACACTAAACATGGAATGTAAAGAATTAAAACAATTAATGTACATTTATGACCAAAATAGCAGTCTTGAATATTTTTTTTCAGCTATCAGATTTTAAAATTGGCACTTCTTTTTTTAATTTAAATTTTTTTTTTTTGTGGTGCATATAGATATTACAATCCAGCATGAGGTGCCCCGAAAGCAGTCCTCATGCAAATACCTCGCAAAACATGCGGGACATAGATTAACATGCACATTTTTCTGTTATATTCCGCTTAAGTAATCAACTTTAAAGAGTATGCTTAAACTATAATTGTGCTTGGTCGGCATATTAGCTAATCTGTTGACATCACAGATTATGCATATATAAACATTCAAGTGAGTAATACAGGCTAGATCTAGGTACTGTCTTCTCTTGTGAGTTCTCCACAATTTACAGTTTGGTGAATAAACCCCAGAATTGTTTCTTACTGACAACAAGACAATTGACCAAAAACCAGGGGATTCTCAGAGAATAATAAAACTGTTATCACACTGTGAGAGTTCTTGGAAACCAAAGTCACAATACAATCTCTTTTGAGTTAATCCAGCTAAACAGCTGCATAATCAGCAGTCTCCTATCCTAATCCACCGCTCACAGCTGGTGGTGGAAATACAAAGAGGAAAAAACATCTGAGCATTCCAAGTAACAGCCCCTCCTTCTAGCTCTACTGAAGACCTATATTCTGACTGCTGCATGCCATATACCCCACAAAGCATCTTGGATTCTAAAGATCCCACTATCTGCTGCGAGAAAGTAAACCAAGGCTATATAGAGGTATGTGATGTATCACTAACTGTGTGATCTATTGGGGGTTTAAACTGAATTGTATACTTTTAGGCCAAAAGCCAAACTGCAAAGCTGAGTTTCATTTTTATTTCTAATAATTTGTTTACTAAAATTTGACACTCACACTCTAGTGAATAACCTTTGTTTATAGGAATCAAGGAGTCATAGTTAATTATCATTTATATCTATGTTTGGGGGTATCTTAATTTACAATTTAAAACTCTCTGCAGTCATAGATGTGTTCTCTCTGTTTGCCATGTCTGGTGTCGATGTATTCACTAGTGATAGCTACAGCCCAAAGGATTTGGTCCAGCATCTGATTAATAGAAATAAAGTACTGACCAATCTGCATGTGATAACTTGGTGTGTTTGTCATGCATTTCACTTATTAATGGCCAGCACATGCAGAGGCCCTCTCTGCAGTATGTATTATTCATATGCTACAGGAGGGAAAATCCATTGTCTAACCCAGTATTTCCTTGTTACTTTCTGGGTTATTCACGAATTTAAGATTTTAAGCTAAAATAGCCATAATTTACTATGTCACTAGTGTAGCATTTTTTTTTATTTTATTTTTTGCGGCAGCGGCGGCAGCAGCAGCATAAAATGGTTTTTGCTTTGATTTCTCATGACTAACCCTGTCTGAGTAAAGGATTACTCTAACCATAAATCAAACAAAGATACATTTAATTGTACCATTCTCATCCCTGAGAGCGCATGTGCACACGCTAAACCGGCAAGGGGCTGGACTGCAGATACATTTATTTATTTTTATTTTGTGGGTATAGGTGAGACTTAAATGAAGTGAAGGAGAGTATATACCAACTTTCACTTGCATGTCCTTCATGTAAAGGAAAATCTCTATTTCTGTTGACAGATGTAATTTATGCACATAATTGATATTCGGCAAGCCCAGCCTGCAACAAGTTACCAGCACAAGAGTTAATATATCTCTGTATGTGCAACATTCAGAGCAGAAACACTGCACATACAGATTGCTACCACCATGATCAATTCTGCTTTTAGAATTAAGTAATTTCCCTCTTGCAGCATAGAAAGGCTACATACTCTATTGTAGCAGTTTTCACTTACTGCTGACCACCTCAAAGAAGTGATAAGTGTCTAGAAAAATATTGTGGATTGGGCAGCACGATAAATGCAGCTTTCACCCTTATGGGCAATGGTTAAAAAAAAAATATATATATATATATATATATATATATATATATATATATATATATATATATATATTATTTATAGCATGTTTAGCAATTTCCTCCAGAATATCACCTGTTTTGCCTTGACAACTGCAGTGATTTGGCAAAAAATAAAACTCCCTCACCCTTCTCAAATACCTCTCAGCTTTCTTTCTAGCCATACCGGTAATCTCATGCATTACTATTTCTGATAAATTCCCTGATGTATTTTACCCAATCCATGGCCACAGACCATAGAGCTGTACTTTCTGCTATTAGCTTGTGCAGCAGTTATATCAAACTCTTGGTCTGTTCATGGAATATGCACTGTACTCCACGACAGCTGACCCTCTCAACCAGGATTAGACTGAAACAAAAAGCCATTCTACAGAATTTTGCTGCCGCTATATAAATAAAATAATATATCAAGGCAGAGAAGCCCAATCGGAAGAGGTGGGTCCAGAGAATAAGCATGTCGTGTCTTCACTAATCACAAGCATGCCTATTTGTTTCATGTCGATTTCAGGGCAGCCCATGCGCTACCCGTTACGGCTCTGTTCACCCGTACTCAAACGTTCGGCGAGTCATACAGAGCTCCTATCCAGTTCATCCACTTGGCGCCGTAGCTGCTGAGCGCAGTCAGCAGGAAGGACCAGTCCACCCGCTCAATAGCCTTGCCCGCGTCGGAGATGAGGCACAAGGGTATTCCATCCCTGCATGCTAGATGTTGGATAGAGCGTACCCGTAACGTGCTATCCCGTGCCTCTCTACCCGAGATGAACCCAGTCTGATCCGGGTGGACCAGGCCCGGGAGCTTTGCTCCAAGTCGGACCGCTAGGACCTTTGCGAGAAGTTTTACATTGAGCAACAAGCTCAGTCTATAGCCTCCAGGTCCTTCCCTGGTTTGGGTAAGATGGTGATAGTAGCGATTCTTGATGGAAAAACAACCGCAAGGTCAAAGTGTTGAGGGCTTTGCTAAGTTTTGGAATCAAGGTTGCACTAAATTTCTTGTAATAGTCCAGAATTAGTCTATCCAGACCCGGGGCTCTGCCCACCTTTGAGATTTTGATGGCCCTCAGGAGTTCATCTTCCGTGCTTCGCATCATCCGCCTGGAGGGTGGAGGCAACATAAGTCGCCAGGAAGTTGCTCCGCTCCAGCTCCCGATTACCCTCAGCGCCGTGCCCCTTCGCTCAAGTAATATTGTAGAATGTCCGAAACTTAGACTTCTTTCTTCTGGCACGAGTTGTTCTTTCACTTCAGTCATAACAATCCAGTGCACCCCTAGATCTGACACCTGGCATGACTGTCCTACACTTTACACTCCTGACCCAAAAAAATGCATAGATGAGTCCCTTTTGAAATTCACCAAGCAGTAGATTCCATCAAATTGGGCTCCCTAAGGAATAAAATTCTTAGTTATGCTAATGCAACACTGGGTATAACTGGTCATTTCGAATTTATGCAGGAAAAGACTGTCCGCTAGATCCACCAGGCTGCCCTGATACTGTTGGGACAAAACGTGAAATTGTATGGGATCTCCTCCAATTCATGAATAAAGGATGTCATCTATGGTGGGTTGTTTTTTTTTTTTTTCTAGAAAGTCATTACAGTGCTGGTGTTGGTCTTGCCCTGTGTTAGCAGGACTCACGTTATCTGAATGGCACCCAATGCCACAGGTGAGTCACAGCAGGGAGTTCAGCCACAGTGAGTCCCAAGATTTTCCGGTCTATGAACCAGGGTTCCTCTTGGCTGTGCTCTGTCTTGAATCCTTGGGTGGTCAGTGCTGTCAGGGCAGGTTCTGCTTCATGTCTTGTGGTATGTGCTACTGCAGGCACTTCCATTAGAGTGCGGTGAGTTCTTATTTGCAGTGTCCATAAACTTTGCTTTTTTTTTTTTTTTTCTTTGTAAGGACCCGGCAGGGTAGCAGTGTGTGCTCATTCATTTGCTCCGTTGGCTTCCTCACTTTTAGGTAAGCATCCACTCGATCTCACAGGCAACTCACGCACATGGTCGGCGCGCGGCAGCCATCTTGTGGGCCTTCGCCCAGCGGCTAATCCTCACCAGCGGCTGTTTAGGTCAGGGTTGATGTGCTGGCTAGTGCCTTTGCAGACCGGGATGACCCCCCCCCGGTCCAGAGGGGGGGGGGGAGCGTGACGCCGGCCGGAGACCCGGGAGAGCGGCCGTCTCATCCCGGCTCAAGCCCCAATGGGCTCCGTGCCCCAGTCGGGTCACTGTCGGCGCCAGAGAGTCTCATGCGGTATACTAGTTTGCCCCAGTGACTGGGGGTCGGTGTGGTCGCCTGTGTGGTTTTCCCAGTCTTGTAAAGCCTCCAATTTACACAGACTTCGGGCACTGGAGCGGGAGCTCAGACAGAGCACGTCTGATCCCGCTGGCGGTCAGGCCCCGCCCCCCTTTTTTTTTTTTTTTTTAAATCACACTATAGAATTGTAAATTATAACACAGATCCCATAGGGACCTTCTCTGTGACCCCTGGCAGTTGTTCTTTCCCTCCAGGGATCATTTGCTCTATAGTTTATCACACATGTGTGTGTGTGTTCCCTACACACAACCACTGGTTCCCTTAGGGGCACCAGTATACCCTCCCTTTGAGAGGGGGTTGGTTTGTCATTATTTTTATTTATTTTTTTTTTATTTTTTTTTCAGTCCAGCCCTGATCACCACTAAATGCGCCCTGCATTTGTGATAAAGTGGCTAGACCAAACTACTCAAAATACATAATTTGGAATAATCTGGGTTACCTACGTTTGAGAATGGTATGCTGTAATAATGAAAATACTATGTCACCTTTTAAAGAATATGACAGGATGGATAATAAGCCCAGATATTTCTTGATTACTCCAGACATAATCCGAGGTGGGGATTATACCACTTACGCCTAAATCATTGAGCAGGCCGTCTGCTCTCAATTCTATGTGAGTACATTTTATTATTTATACTCCTTATATAAGATTTTATACAGCGAGCACTATTAGTTGTCTCTCTTCTTCCTTATGATCTACACATCGGCGAAAGACTTAACCCTCTACACGTATCCTACAAGCGGGGATTATACCGCTGTAAGCTATTCACACTAGAGCTGGCTTAAGCTCTACTAAACATGAGTAAGACTGTATTAGACTCTGTTGTTATATACACCATCTTTACCAGACGTACTGCCCTATCATCTGTCTTTCTCTTCCACATACGGAGTAAAAGACCAATACTTCTCTACGTATCCTATAAGCGGGGATTGTACCGCTGTATGCCATCCACACTAGAGCTAGTTCAGCTCTACTACACGTGAGTAGAATTACCATAGATCTCTTCTTCCTGCATATCAACCCTCTCATCAGACGTATTTGCACCATTATTTGTTTGTTTCTTTACATACGGATCCTGAAAAGCCATCTTCATGTGACCCTTAGAGAGAATACCCCTCCACATAGGCCGTCGGTGCCCTACTAAAGACTGTTTTGGCACCACCTACATTTTGGACTTTGTTCATTTTCTAGCTGCACTTTAGTCAGCTTTGGTGCAACCTTCCTCTGTTTTGTCTTGTATATTATCTTTGTTCATAGGGCTTAGAGGGAACTCTATTTTAGGTTGCTGCCTCCTACTTTACCTATTTATAGGATTGGTTTAATTTAGCGCTGTTTCCTTCTTTTGTATATTTTTATTTGGCATGGTATAAAGAAGCCCATGGGAATAGAAATGGCGCTGGGGAGTGCCAAAATTCTTTTGGGGACTGGGAAATACCCCAGAAGCCAGGGGGGGGGGTACCTGAGGGGAGGTTGAACAGACCCCAGAGGAGAGGGGTAGCCCCCACCACAGTAGAGGTTATCAATAGAAAACATTCACTATGTATATCAGTTAGGTAAACAATGATAGTATGAATATGTATAAATCACAGTTCAGCAAATATGACAGAGAAAAAAAATGTGTACTTAGCTCTTGTGATGGAGCAGCAAAGAAAGAGGAAATGTCATATGTCACGCCTCTTAGAACCAATCACAATGTAGTATAGGGTATAAGTTTTGTCACTCTTTTCTTTGCTGCTATGGAGTTAGTAAAGAAAGATTATGCAAAATACAAAGCCTCCGGTCATGTGATAAAATTCTAGGTTTTTTTTTTTTGGTAGGAACTTGTACAACAGCCCCAGTCCTTAAGGCGATCAAGAGAAACCCACAACTTTGTGGATATAGACACACTGTGTATATATGTGTGTTATGGCATGTCAAAGTGTATATGTACAGTGGGACCTTGGTTTACGAATTTAATCCGTTCTCCGGGACCTTTCTTATTGCGAAAAATTTGTAAACCGAAACGCGGTTTCCCATAGGAATGCATTGAAAACCAATTAATCCGTTCTGGAGGTCAGAAAAAAAAAAGTAAAAATGAGCTGGCATGGAAACCAACCCACAATGCAGAACACACAATAAAAAGGCATGCAAACGATAAAGCTGCCTACCTTTCCACTGCTTGAGGAATGCACCCAAAATGTCCAAAAACAACTGAAAACAATTTCCAGAATGGCTCCAAAACTCGATGCAAAAGCTGCTCCAACACCTCCACACTCGAAGCCAGGTGCTACCCACAGGCTCCTTCATGCAGGGGGCGGTGCTATAAACCTCCCATGTGCAATGCATCCTGGGGAAACTTGCTTTGTATTGGGAGGAAAATTTGTAAACCGAGGCATTATTTTCAATGGATTTTCATTTGTAAACTGAAAATTATGTTAACCGAGGCGTTTGTAAACCGAGGTCCCATTGTATTTCTGTTTGTGTAGAATGTTTGTTTATAATAGTGTTTGTGTATGGGGACACAGTTTGGGCAGTAGCATTATTAATTAACAAAACTTTAACAATATAAAAAAATTTGAGGCGATATCCACCACACTTCATATTAGGCATACTCCACAAGACCCTTAATTATCAACCAAAAATGAAAAATGTGGATAATCTACCTATGTCTTTTTATATTGAGTGCTTAGTTTATTCATAGTTTCATTATGGCAATTTAGTTATTCTATGCCTCTCTTTATAAAATGTCTGAATATATCTGTATAAGATAATGACGGAGATAACTTTTTAGGGATTAATCCTTATGACAGTCTATTTCAGTACATTGTAAGAGTTGGCACACTAAATAGGCTAAGAACTCTTTGTATAGGGAATAGGTGTACATTATCTAAGTGGTGATTCCATTCCCATCCTTCTCATTTCTGGTTTTCTGTTTTTGTCTGATTAGTAGCAGTGTGTACCTGTCATTTCTGAATTGTCCATTCTGGCTCCAGTTCTGTCCTTTCTCCCTCCCAGGAGATCACTGTGTTCAGACTGAAGGGGTGGTGCTTTGCACTGATCAGGCTTCCTCAGACTGAATATAGCGATCCCAGAGTTCTGGAGCCTGTGTTCCAAGTATGCCCACCCTCAGGTGCTTAATGTGAAATTTTACTTAAAATTCCTGCTGGTGAGAGGGAGGTGGGGCAAGCCAGACCGGGCCACCCACTTGTAAAATCACACATTATACAGTGATGCGACAGATATTGCTTCTCCTAGCAAAGCCTGTGCAAATGGACACTGCCGGAAGAGATGTACCAAAGTCTACTCCTCCACAATACATTTGGAAATGGCTATATCTGCACAGCCCCCTTGCATGCATAAATGTCCTTAAAGGGAGGCCTCTCTGAATGGCCATGCATGCCAAGTTCTAATGTCTGTTGGTCAGCCTTCCGGATGGCAGTCTCTACTGTGGCAGTGGGCAACCCTGGAATAGATTCTGGAACTTCCTAAGCTCTGAGTTTGTGGATCGCCTTAGGGGTTCCGGTTTCACTTTTTTTAGATGGTGAAAGTTTCTCACATCTTGGTCCCTGGCACGATGCAGCCCAGCCTCTAATGGTTAAATGATCGTGGTGGATCTATGCTTTGCTTAACACCATGCTGGGGTAGCAGCCAACCAATCACTACCCCAGTCCTGGTGTGTGAGACAGAAGCATAGCTTTGCCATCTTGTCATTAGAGGCCGGGCTGCTGGTGACAGCATATTTCTACTAAGCTTTAAGAACAACATTTAGTAGTGATTCAGGTCAGCATTCCCATGAACTCAAGACACCATAGCCAATTTAATCAGACGAAGTAATTATAGTGCCTACAGTGTTCCTTTTAAAGGACCACTATAGTGCCAGGAAAACATACTCGTTTTCCTGGCACTATAGTGCCCTGAGGGTGCCCCCATCTTTAGGGGGTGCAAGGGGTTAAATTTACCTCTTTTTCCAGCACCAGGTGGGGGACTCTCCTCCTCCATCTCCTTCTCCTCGTCAGCGGCTGCATGCGCGGCATGAGCCGCGCGCACATTCAGCCAGTCCATAGTAAAGCATTCTCAATGCTTTCCTATGGATGCTGGCTTCTTCTTACTGTGAAAATCACAGTGAGAAACACGGAGCGCCTCTTGCGGCTGTCAATGAGACAGCCACTAGAGGCTAGATGAACCCTATTATAAACATAGCAGTTTCTCTGAAACTGCTATGTTTATAAAAGAAAGGGTTAATCCTAGATGGACCTTTTAAGGACCATACTTCTGGAATAAAATGGAATCATGACATGTCACACGTGTGTGTGTGTGTGTGTGTGTAAATGAAAATTAAAAAATTACCACCATTTTCTCCAATTTTTTTTTTTAATTTTTTTTTTTTTTTTTGATAAAAGGTTACATAAAAACACTCCATATACGATACCTTGGGGTGTCAACTTTATAAATATATGCACGTTCATGGAAAGAAAATAAATTGGGATATGTAAAAAGGCCCCCAAAAAGAAGATGGGCAAAGATATGTCAAACTTAAAAAACACATGTAAGCCCCCCAAACAACCCAACAATGCTATGTGGTGGTATCACTGTAGTCAGGAGATGTTGCTGAAAACCTATTGGGATGTTCTTTGTCAGTAACCCATAACAGGAACTGAGAATCCATGCCTAAAGTACAATGTGAGAAAAATGACTACCCAAACGTTTGACAAAGACTGGTGGTAGAATTAGTACATGGAACGTGGTAAAATACCACCATTTGAAATACCCTAGGGTGTCTAATTTTCAAAAATATATGGTTTGATGGGGATAAATTACATTGGCCGGCTTCAGAAATGTCCCAAATAGGACATGGGTGCATGATAACAGCTGAGAAAATTCCAAGTTAGAAAACTAGAATGGGCACCCTCCACCCCCCAGAGAACACAACACTCCTGTACTCTGGAGATGTTGCTGATCACATATTGGGGTGTTCCTTAAAGTTCTCTGTACATGTATTCTTAAATTGATATGTGTGCTACTTGCACTTATAGCCCTATAACTTTCAAAAAAAAAGCTAAAAACATGTTAACATTGGGTATTTAACTCAGGACAAAATTTTGAAACTTTTTATCATGGGTGGTTTTTGGCGGTTGTAGATGCATAACAGATTTTGGGGGTCTAAGTTAGAAAAAGTGTTTGTTTATATTTTTTTTTATAGTGAATTATAATAAATAATGCTATCTTTAGAAAGACCATTTTAATGGCGAAAACAGTATATAATATGTGTGGGTACAGTAAATGAGTAAGAGGAAAATTACAACTAAACACAAACACAGCAGAAATGTAAAAAAAGACCCTGGTCCTTAACGGTAAGGAAATTGAAAAACGGTCTGGTCACTAGGGGGTTAAGAGTTTACTCACTAAACAAGGAATGGGTAAAAACTTGAGACTTCAAGCCAAATTAGTCAGATTGGCATAAAGTCTTAAAATTAGATTTTCTTCCAAACTAAATGTTTTGGCCATATAAAAAAAAAATACAGTTTCCTTGTCCCTTATCCTCAATTCCTGGTTTGGGGAGAGAGGGAGGGGCTATGTGTCTTTTAACCCATCTGTACTATTGCTGTAATTGACACTTGGTTTTATGCCACATGTGGTTGTGCTATTTATAATCTGATAACTGGACATGAGGTAGTGTGAGGTTTTGGCAGCTTTGCTGTCCCTGACTGGAATTTTCAGTTTCAGGAAGTCTAAGATAGGCTGTGAACTCTGTCAGTATTGTAATCACAAAATGTGCATTGCTGGTGATATGTGAAATTGTGCTAATTTTCTGAGTAATGCAGTGTATCAGTGTTAATTTTGTCGACTAATTTTAGTGGACTATAATTTTTTTTTAGATTTAGTCGACTTAAACTAAAATGGAATTAATTTTTTTTTTTTTTTTTTTTTCAAAAGACTATGACTAAAACTAAATTTGAAATTTGCCACCAAAATTAATTCTGCACAAAGGGGCTGTGGAAGGAGCAAAAGACACAGACCAGGGCTTGAAAGAGACACCTAGAGGGGCTGGGAGGACACAATGAGACACTGTGTGTGTGTGTGTCTTTAACTAAACCCATTAGCTTTTAGTTGTGCCAACTAAAATTTCCAGTACATTTAGTCCACTAAAACTTTTTTTTTTTTTCAAAAGACTGACTAAAACTAAATTGAAATTTGCCACCAAAATTAACACTGCAGTGTATAGTACTGAATTAATGACTAATGTCCATTGACCACCTGACTATGGCTGCCAGATCCACTAAGTTTCCTGGAAACCGTGCACAAACATAAACTTGCATAAATGCACAATAACCCTTCATACAAATGCACTCCTGTGTTTTAAAGTGTCCCTTCAGTAATCTTCCCATTACTTGCTCTCCCAGCCTGTCCCTAAATCCCCTGCTCACCTCCTACAACCTGAACACTCACCCTGTCGCCTCCAACAAACTTGCACACCTCCCTACCAGCCATTTGCAACCATTCATTTTGTAAAATACCTCCCCTCTCCGTTCACTTGCACCCAACCTCCCTTTCACCTATCCATCCCCTATATCCACAAACTTACACATTCACAAACAACCTACCTGATTCCACCCAGTCATTGTGTCCGAGCACTTACGCAGATTACCACTGCGATGCTCCAGTAGGGATGGTGACCTAGCTTACAGTAGGTATAATCAAGATCTGTACCCAGCGAGGGTGCAAACTAGAAGGTCTCTGGACCCCTGTACAGTGGGTGCACTGAGCCCGTGAGGAAGATCTTTGATTTCCATCACTGTCCTATGAAGGGACACCTCGCCCTCTGCACGAGCACTGTGGAGGTCACCTCTGCTGCCTTACTAGGCTGCCGGCCCTGTCGGTCACCTGGTGCCATCCGCACTCCCTAATGACGCCAGGGCTGACCTCTCGTACAAGAGTCTTTTAACAGCATTTAGTGTATGGGCAATCGGACTCACTTGATGATGAATGGACATATCATCCATGAATCTAATTTATATTATGGACACATTCCAGTCTCAAACTTGTGAACCTTAGCAAGTCCACTTTATTGGTTTACTGAGATAATTACTGCCTCTATGATGCCTTTAACCCCTTAAGGACACATGACGACGTGTGACATGTCATGATTCCCTTTTATTCCAGAAGTTTGGTCCTTAAGGGGTTAAATTGCAGCCTCCTACTGATTTCAGCCCATGACCTTTTGATACCATTTTGACTTTTCTTTATCTGGACACAGCCAGATATATTAAGCTTTATTTAACTTTACATGGCTGGCCTAACACCTACTCTATAAGAATGTCATCATACTGCATGACTCTATCTAGTAATGTGTGTCTGAGGTACAACTGTTAATAATTGATAAGACATAATATTAGTGGAAAAATATAAGGGTTTTTTTTTTTTTTTAAGACTTACAGAATTGTGCAAAAGTTTTATTTTAATTTTTTTAGTCCGAAGTGGTTGAAAAATGCTTTCAAAATTCAAAGAAACAGGGAAAAAAAATCTAAATCCAATAAAATATGTGGTATTCATACCTTTTTGCCTTTGAACAAGCATCAGTTCAAAATCCTGTTGCACACAGTTTTGTAAGGAACATATTAGAGGTTGTTCTAAATATCTTGAACTAACTGCAGTTCTCCTTTTGGTTTTAAAAGAACACTAAACTGTATTCCTAACACTATAGTGTCCCTCTGCCCCAGATCAGTGCGTTCACATTATCGCAGCCCGATCGGCACCACAATGAGACCGCATCTGATCGGTATGGTTACTCCCCTTACATCCAGAGCCTCTCGCTCAGTGCAGTTCTCAACACAGCGGCCGGGTCCAGCGTCTGGAAGGACGTCGGCCACTGCAAGGCGACGCTATATAATAACGCTGCCCACAATGATGTCCCCAGTCAAAACTGGGGTCAAAACAGCCATTAGCAGGGTTTACTGGGTTGTTTAAACCCAAACCTGCAATGGTTCAGTGCTGTGTCGTGCTTTCCATCCTGTTGGTTATCTGAGAGCGTGTTCCTGATACGGTTTATTGGTTATTGGGCTTGGCTTGACTTCCCATATTTCCGGTATCCCTAACCCTTTGGCTTTATCGTATTTGTTCCTTTCTGTATTCCTGACTTAGGTTTGTGACTGTTTATTCTATTACGTTAAATCCGGCCATTCTAAGGCCCGATAATATGTTGTTACGGTTTGTCTTTGTTACGTGTTTTACTTCTGCGTGTTGTGCCACTGGTTCGTCCTGACTCAAAATCCCTCAGCCCTGGAGCAGCAATGGGGCAGCCAAAGTGCATGGCGGGTCCTTCCCCATAGCAAAGCGTTGACTCCATTCTTTCTTATGGGGATTTTCAGGACGCTGGACATCCTCTTGCACAAATTTAATCTCTATGTAAATCTAGGAAGCGCCTGTAGTGGCTGTCCAGGAGACCACCAGTCGAAACAATCTTAACTTTCTAATGTAAACACTGCAGTTTCTTTAATGTTTTACATTACAGGACAACGTGGAACAGGGACATTGCACCCAGATCACTTCATTAAACTATAGTGTCAGGAACACAAACATGTATTCCTGACCCTATGGGGTTAAAACCACCCTCTTGGCCCCCTGTGCCTCCCTAAAAAATTGAAAACTTACTTGTATTCAAGCCTGAAGCTGTAGCTGTTTGGTTGTGTTTTTTTTTTTTTTTTAAAGGCAGTCTGCTGACATCAGAAGTGGTGGCCTGATCCAATCACAATGCTTCCCCATAGGATTGGCTGAGACTGACAAGGAGGCAGATCAGGGGCAGAGCCAGCACAATTCAAACACAGCCCTGGCCAATCGGCATCTCCTCATAGAGATGAATTGAATCAGTGAATCTCTATGAGGAAAGTTCAGTGTCTGCATGCAGAGGGAGGAGACACTGAATGTTTGGATGCATTTTAGGCAGCCATGACCCAGGAAGGATCTCTAACAGCCATCTGAGGAGTGGCCAGTGGAGTTATCACTAGGCTGTAATGTAAACACTGCAAAAAGCCTGAAGGGAATGATTCTACTCACCAGAACAAATTCAATAAGCTGTAGATGTTCTGGTGACTATAGTGTCCCTTTTAAGATAAAGTGGTTTGGTAATCCCAGGTAGACTCCATGATGTTATGATCAGGATTTTGTGGAGACTAGATAATCACTTTCAAGTATGGTCGGACTTGCAACAACTTTTTATTGATGTGATTTTTTTTTATTTTTTTTTAATTATTATTATTTATTATTATTATTATTATTATTTTTTATATCTGCATGTTCTGGGGAGGGGGGGCAAGTCAATTTGGTTTCAGCATTACTCCACAACCGAACTACCTCCAAATTAAAATCACAACACTTTTTAAGAGATTTGTATTCCGTGTATGTAGTGTCAAATGTTATAATACACTTTTTTTTTTTTCCCAATGGTTTAATTTCTCTGAGCCTCTTAACTAGTAGTTAGTTCCATCCAATACACAAAGTTGCACATTACACAACAGCATGAGATGCATGGCCCAGTTAATGTGTTATCCAGGCAAATATTTGGAGTGTAGGAGGAAGGTTTGAAGATAAACGTATTCTCTTGTTGTGTACAGATTGAAAACCAGCAAACGGATCCATAGCCATGCAGATTGGTTTCTACCTCCAGCTCCTGCAGATTGTTGCATTACTGGTCTCAGGTATTTAAAAAATTATTTCTGTAATTACAATGATCATTTTATATGTCAACCAGTAACAATTTGATGTATTTTATTCTTTGTCATCTGTGTAACACTCACTAGGCATTCTCCAAACTAAAGCCGTCAAAGTCTACCATTAGTGTGTGTGTGTGTGTGTGTGTATGTATACATACATACATACATACATACATACATACACACACTCTAATGTGGCACCATTACTGCATCTCTTAAATTACTCTTGAAATTTTGGACAATCCTGGATATCGTTATGGTGTTTTTCCTGTAGTAAGACACATTTGGATATTGGTATCTAACTTCCATTATTAATTGTGTTTTGAAGACTTTCTTGCTATTTTTGTCCCTAATTGTTAAGGGTATTGCAGTGCTCTGTCAACAAAACACATAAGGGTGTATTCGCTAAATAACAAACTACAGTGAATTAAAAACCGAATTCTAAAATGTACGTCAAAGTGCTGATTTGGACTTTTTGTAAGTGTTAATCTAAGACATAGATTAAAATGATAATGCCAATCTATAGATTATAGAATCTGGCAGAGATTACAAGATCAGAAACGGGTCCACGTTTTAATGTTCTAAAATTCAACACCACATACATTTGTAAAATTGCATTGTATAATAAAGCAAAGAAACAAGTCACAGGTGGAGGGTTTGATCCATATATAGGTTTTAAAATAAATAAAAATGTAATATTCTAAATTTCTGTACAATGTTGTAACTTTCAAACTATGATCCCACACTTTCCAATATAGTGATCATATAAAGATTAGAAAATAAAACTAAAATGAAGAAAAGAATAAGTGTTTTACAGAAGACCTAAACAAAAGTAGAACTGGACTAGAAAATAATTAGTAGGAAAAAATAGATTAAGGAGTAACTGGAAATGGAATTTGAAAGAAAAAATAGAAAAAGGGCAGGAGAGAAATCGGGCATTGTGTTTGTTTTCTGTGGTGGGGGTTTGCGTGGGTGTATTTTTGTTTGTGTTTTTTTATTTTATTTTTTTTATTTTTTATTTTTTCCCTGGTTTTCTATGAAACTTGCATAACGCTCTCCTTTCTGAACAATTGGTCCAGTAAAGGAGGTCTGGAATTCCAATGTTTCACAATGCAAGCTGTTGTGCAAATCCTATAAACTTAAAATGCTCTTTGAACATGAAGAAACTATTTAACAGTGCAACTCTAAACTCTGGTTCCAATACAATACTGCAGATGACCTAGATGAGTTGGAAAACTGAGGACTAATCTGGTTTAAATGACACTCCCACCATGTGTAGCAATACATTCCAACTTTCTCTTAAGCAAGCGCTGAACAAGATCGATAAATGGCTTTTAAGGTTTATTGGGTCGACATACCAGTAATTAATACATTCTCTCTGATGGTAGCGATACCCAAAACAGCATCCAATATACGGTACTTCATTGTTCTTCCTTACCAAAAGTCTCTCCCATGTCCTCCTCCCATCAAATTTGGTAAGAAGTTTTCCTATTGTCAAAGCTCTCTCTAGGAGTAAGCCGTGTATAATAGAGCTTGCCTGACATTCCATTATGTTCAGTCACAAACGTGGTGCTTAACCCAAACAACACTCTACATAGATCCCTAAGAAAAATGAGTTTTGTGAGCAAAACAAACCCCTCAAATCTGCATCTTGTGTAATAAAAGAATATCCATTTTCTTGGCTATTAAGACCCATGCCATTGTGGGAGATGATGTAGAGTGAAAAAAATCACAGTACCACCTCCAACACCAGCCATTAAACAGTTATAGAAAGTTAATTTTTATATATATACACGCACACGTATGGAGAACAAGAATCCAAGGATGCCTACAGTTTGTAAGATTCAGCAGCAAAAAAAATAATTGAACTCTCACGTGAAAGTTAATTCTAACATGACACCCACAAATGGTGCAAGTGGTAAGACTGATCTAATTAAGAAGCAGCAGTATCACTAAACTAGACTGAACCTAGAGAAATGTTAACAGGTGAAATTAGAATGTACCAATAACTTTCTAATCCCAATCAAGGTTGGCAAGAACCAATCACACCGGATTCACATGTCCTCACCATCACCCCTAATCAGAGATCCGTAATAAGTATCAATCTCTGTTACTTCCTTTATCTGACATAAGAGAACTAGCACAACAATGTAGGTTGAAAGTGATTACATAATCCTACTCATTCAGAAATGTGTTTTAACAGCGTTCACTTTCAACCTTCAGATAATTAAAGTCTGCATGCCCCCACCTAGAGGGAAGAGGGAGTTTTATTTGTGTGTTGACTTAAAAATAATGCGTTGTTTCACAGACTATTGTATTTTGGATCAGTGCAAGGCAATCCTTGTTCTATGTGGTCATTGATGGTATTCAGATACGATCTGTAATGTGTGAAGCCTCTGGGAGCAGGCTACCAATAAATATCAATATATATTTTAGTAGCTGCAATAACCCAACTTGTATAACTATTGTGTTCCACAGCTCAGCGTAGCCCACTGAATGATTACCAGCGATCTAAAGGAGTGGAACTTGTGCACTCACCTGAATCTGTGAAGGAAGAGATCAAAGCAGAAGTTGAATCATGTGCAAAGAAATGTAGGGACATCCTAGACTGCAGGTAGGTAACCTCTTGAGAAAGCGCTTCAACAGTCACTACAACCACTTTAACCATTACCTAATTATTTACATTTCGACAAAAGAAAATTGTTTAACATCTTTGTTTACCCCAAATATAACATGTATTTCCTCCCCCCACCCCCATTTTTCTGTAACTGAGTAAAAACCGACTACCACAAATTGTAAGCTTTTCCATACAATTAGACATTCCTTTAAATTGCATCTTATAGAAACATAGAATGTGACTTCAGATAACAACTATTTGGCCCATCTTGTCAGTTCTTTTTGTTTATCATTTTATAAGATGCATCTCCTCTCTTACCTAGCTATAAATCCCCCTGCCCCCAACAAAAGGGGAAGAGTGTTATTTATTTGTTTTTGCTCTGTTTCTTTAATGGCTATTACTTCGGCTTGCTATTTAATCAGAATTTTTATTTTTTTTTAATACAAATATATTAACCGAGAAGTGTACTGCAGTTTAATAGATATTTTAGTTAGGTAAGACATTTGTCGGGTTTTCCATGTTGCATTTTCTAATTTAGAGCTTTCAATTACAACTGGAAGAGTCACAGCTGCCGTCTGCTTCCACGGACTCAGAAATCAGCTCATGTTGAATTGCAGAGAAACGTGCATTATGACTTGTACCAGAAGAAAGGTGAGTGGAGAGGTCACGTCACATTGAACTATTCATTGCTAAACCACTATGAAAATGGGATTTAGCCGCATATGACTTGTAGCTTGCTTTTTATTTCTAAAGAGTAAAAAGAGTATGCTTGTATCACATTTAAGGAGATGGTGATATTTAATGTTGGTGCAGCGTCACTCCAAACACTGCTGTTCTGCATTCTGATTTATTTCATTCTTAATGGGTAAAATGCTACAGAGTATGACATTCTATCCCTGCACTCCACATATTCCAGACACAAGTGAATGTTTAAGTGGGTCCTACTTTGGTCCTTCACATTAGAGACCCCTCTCTGCTGCTTTCATTAAGTGGCATTTACAGTTTAGCATTTTTAATTTCGGCGAAGTGCAAGCCAGGATGGCAGTAACTAGCTGAAATTGGTAAAATTTAGATGCTAGGTGGGTGCATTTCACTTGACTTTCAATAGTAGTTTGTAAAGTTGACCGAAGCCAAACTTCATTAAGTATTGTTATCAACCAAAACTTGCCATTTCTCCGACAAACATGGCCATTTGAAACAATACAGTTTTTACCTGTAAAAGAATAAATATTTAAGAACCAATTGATACCTATTACAGACTGTTTCCAGCCATCCAATAACAAAATATTCTACTTCTAGACTATGTTCGTGATTGTATCGTGGGGAATGGTGAAACGTACAGAGGGACTGTTTCCAGAACTCACAAGGGAAAAACATGCCAGCATTGGGGGATGAAGTTCCCCCATGACCACAAGTAAGTGTTGTTTTTTTTTGTTTTGTTTTTGTTTTTTCGAGGCCATATGTCATGATTTTACCTGGTGTGGAATCCGACGTGCAAAGTTATACGCTCAGCCTTGCAAATAAACACAGACCAAGGTGACCAGGTAAGAAGCCACCTAGGCTGTGAGCCTGTGCACGGGGGCTGTGAAGGTAAAGTGCTCCAAAATGCAGGACAGGCAAGGACACAAGCAGAAGGGTAGTCAAGGGGAAGCCGGAGGTCAGAGTAAACAATGAGATCAAACTGGAGAACACATGATCCTGATACACAATAACGAGAACCAGAGTCAATGAACTGACACTGCCTTCAGAGAGAGGCAGTATTTTATACCTGGTTAATTAGCGATCTGCTTCCGGTAGACTCAGATTGACAGGAGCAGCCACAGGTAAAGTCCAGCCCCCAGTGCTGGAGACAAGGAAAGGATAAACATTAGGCTGAAACAAGAACTGAAGTGTGGCTCAGAGGTAAGAGAGCAGAACTGATATTTAGATTCCTTGTAACTTCTGTGGTATAGGTATTGTCACCATGAATAGGTGCAACGTTGTCTAACAAAACCTCTGTTCCTTGTAACGGCAGAGTGACAGATCTTATCTGACGTAAAGTCTTAATTTTTACTCTTATAACCCTATTGTAATGGGTAGATATTTGCTCTATCAAAATGATACACGAAGCACCAAAGCAACTTTAGCTTAATGACCCTGCAGTCTCACTGCTTAATTCTCTGCCATTTAGGAGCAGAATCACTTTGTTTATGCAGCCCTAGCTACACCTTCCATGACTGAGGCTCACCCAGCCTTTCTACATATTTTCAGAAAAAGTAAAAAAAAAAAAAATTAACTCTCCTTATTGCAAAGTGTGTTTTAAAAATAATATTAAAAAAAATAAATTAAAAAAAAATATATATATATATTCACTCACTCACTCACTTTCCAGGATGCACTCCAGGACTTTCAATCAAAAAATTTGATTTTATTCAATCATGTGCACGTAAACAGACTTTTCGACCCCTGCGGGTCTTTTTCAAGGTTACTGTAACACTTCAAACAGTTGAGATATATATACATAAACTATAAGTGCACTTTCCAATCCATTAAGTTGTGAACACCTTCACCGATACCCGGAAGTGACTTAGGACCGCCTACTCGACGTCATCACGTAAGGACGTCTGGCGGAATAACAACGTGGTCACCATAGAAACCTCCCAACTACAGGGTAAATTCATGTAAGCTCATCTGCCACGTCAAGGAAAAACCTCTTGGGCTAGTCCTACATTAACAATTCACCTTGCTGCTTTCCGGTAAAGGTAAAATCTCTAATTGGACAGAGAGGGGTGTTTTTCTCTAAACTCCTTCACACTTATCAACTCTTAATAGGGAACACGTGGTGTGAGCGGCAGCATTATAGCATGGCTGTGTTATCCAAAAGCAAATGCCAACATGCAAAAATAAGTCCTGGCTGGGAGTACTATAGTGATTGCTGTCGCCCAGGAGTAGTAGGAGTTTAAGCGCAGGGCATATCTTGGATGGCTGTGTTTCCTCACAACTCTGTCTGCAAAGTTAATAGCTCATTGCATAGATGCTGACAACAGACATCATTTTTGCACAGAATTAATATTCGACTGCCTGGAACACCCCCGATTAGCTAGCCTTCGGCACAAAACTGTAGTTATCTCTGTATGTGTAGCCTTTCAACCCAAAACACTGCGTGCACACATTCCTTGCTCCAAGACCACTGCTAAATGCAGAAGTGGTCTTGGAGGCTGGAGCAACTTTTGCTCTATTTAGGTGAAGCTGTAATTAAAAATGTCACTTGCCTTAAATCTCTTCCATATACATTGAATACACAATATAGCTTAGATATATAGGTATTCAATATACAATTTAAATATTTGCTCACATATCCTCTGTTCCAGTGGCGATTTGTGGGTGGCTAAACTACATGTAACAACCACCTCTTGACTGTCCACTGCTACTCCCGAAGTCGTCTTTGATTTACCCTGCATCCCCAAGCATGACCAATTTTGTCAGGGACATTGGCATGCAGGCTTCGTTGCCATTGTCTGATTGGAGTAATGTTTCTTTACTCCTTAGCCGGTGCTTGAAGGGCTGGCTAGCTAGTTTGCATATTAACCACAGCCCATGGGAGGAAGGCCGAGGGACCTCCTGTGCGAGGTGTTTTCTGCTCTCCCTGATCAGTCAATGCCTCTGCATGCCGAGGGATTGACTGACAGCTGGGAGAAAAAATAATTTGAAATCGTCTTTTTCTCCTAATCTATACATTTGCCAGCAAAACTGCTAGCACAATGTATAGATAAAATCTTATGCTCAATCTAATGAGCAGAAGTTGTTTAGGGGCATGATAGGTACCCTTTAAGTGCCTTCAGCAGTCTCCTGTGTGGGATTAACGTTTTAATTAACAGAGCAGGAGATAAAACCTTCTAAAGCAAATACAGTATGCTCTAGGAGCTAATTGAAAATGTAAGTTTTACTCCTGGAGTCTGTGTGGTGTGGAGCCAGGGAAGTAAGGCTTGGGCTGCATAAACCGAAGCAAAAGTGCTTTTACTCCTAAATGTCAGATAATTGATCTGTGAGACTACAAAGGTATGATCTATACGCCAAAATTGATTATGAAGGTGACTGTGCAGACCCTTAAGCACTTCTTCTAAAGCAATACTTTTTGTGTATTTGGGCAGTGAAGTGTCCCTTACAGCTAAAGTGGTTTTGGTGCTTTGAGGATCCCTTTAAAGGACCGCTCTAGGCACCCAGACCACTTCAGCTTAATGAAGTGGTCTGGGTGCCAGGTCCAGCTAGGGTTAACCCATTTTTTTTATAAACATAGCAGTTTCAGAGAAACTGCTATGTTTGTAAATGGGTTAATCCTTCCTCCAATTCCTCTAGTGGCTGTCTCATTGACAGCCGCTAGAGGCGCTTGCAAGATTCTCACTGTGAAAATCAGTGAGAGAACGCAAGCGTCCATAGGAAAGCATTGTAAATGCTTTCCTATGAGACCGGCTGAATGCGCGTGCAGCTCTTGCTGTTTTCCTGGCACTATAGTGGTCCTTTTTAATATGGCATCAGGTGCACCTAACATGTAAATCTATACGTTATACCTCCTATATTAGGGTATAACCGTAGATCTATATGTTATACCCTAATATAGGAGTAACCGTATCTGGAGAACCAGAGATCTGGATTCAAAAGGTATGCAGATAGAAGTGGAGGAGTAATCTCAGTTTATGACGTCTTGATGTCTGATTATATTCTTCTAATGTGCTTTCTTTAAAAGTTGTTGGTTCAAGTCAGAGAAAAGATCAAAGCCATTAAGCTCTTAGCAGTAGCAATGAGGATTGTAAGACAAAGTATATTTTACCACACATCTGCATAGGAATGTAAATTAATTCTCTAACCGAATAAAATGTTAACTCCTGTGCTACTAGTGAGGCTTGCAAAGATCTTCTTATTAAATGATCTCTGAAAATATCATGTGACGGACACTGGCCGCTAAGGCAAACCTTGCTGTACAGTGGCTGGAGGAGTGAGGGTCTGACCCTTAACCACTGTTGTCATATTACACAGCATAATGAAAAAAACGATAAAAATTAAAAATATATCTTTCTGCGTATAAAGTGCTCTTGCTCTTTCTCTTTCAGGTACTCTCTAGATATTATCAATGGGTTGGAGGAAAACTATTGCAGGAACCCAGACAATGACTCCGAAGGACCTTGGTGTTACACAACTGACAAAAATGTCCGACACGAGCCATGTGGAATAAAAAAGTGTGAGAATGGTGAGCACCAGTGGATGTAAAAAGTTATCACCATAGCCACTATAAAACCGGGCTTGCCAAAAGCCAGATCCACTGCTGTTGGACAACTACCCCTCAGTGATGCTCTGCCCTCCTTAAAATGTGTGATGGTGTCCTCCTACCAATTTACTTTTACCATAAGCCACAAATACACTTGTCTCCCAGCAGAGATTTTCGTCTCCCTCTTGTTTTGCAGCTGTCTGTCTGACCTGCAATGGAGAGGATTATCAAGGTGCCCTGGACAGGACGGAATCTGGAAGAGAATGTCAGCGGTGGGACTTACAGAGCCCTCATTTGCATCCTTATAGACCAGAGAAGTAAGGCTTTAAAGGTGTTGAAGCAAGGTTTAAATGTAAACTGTATTGCCAGGCAACTTCATTTATGAAAAATGATACTTCACTTTTATAAACCTCCACTTGGTAACCCCCTGTGGCTGGCTTACAACTCAACAGCTGGCAGGGTTGCCATTTTAATTTGCTAAGAGTGATTCCCATAGAGGATACAGAGCTGACACAGCACGGTGATTGCGTTGTATGCACCCAGGTCTGGCCGGGAGCAGAAATGGAAAGGTGACTTGTAATCTCACATAGCAACGAGAGGGTCTCTGCCTCCTCCCTTTTTTTTTTTTTTTCTTCTGGTAGGGGTGCCAAGTGATCTAAAGATAAAACCAGGAATCGTGCAATATAAAAAAAAAAAAAATTATGCTGTAAAGTTCCTTAAAATGATTAATGAAGATGAAATTCACAGCATTACCAAAAGTGCAACCTATGACCTGCAGTGCTGAGATCTAGTGGTAAATGGTGCATTCTCCGGACAGATAGGCATGTATATATGGTGGTGGTTTTTTTTTTATTTTTATTTTTTATTCTCTTTGGAACTTGATATATTGTGTATTACACCTGTATCATGTCCACAAATGCATTTCTTTCTCTTATGTCAGGTACCCTGATAAACATTTGGATGATAACTATTGTCGTAATCCAGACAGTTCAGAAATGCCTTGGTGCTACACAACTGATCCCAGTATGGAAAGGGAATATTGCAAGATCACAAAATGCAGTAAGACGGGGTTTGGTGAATTGGGGTAAAACTATAATTCTTCCTATATGAAGGTGGTATGTCATTAAAATGTTAATTGATCGAGCAGACCGTCCTCACTCTTTTAGGGTATTGTATGCATGCAGCCACTTTGTGTTTTTTTTTTTCTTATGACAATTTCATTTATATACATCAAAAAGGTTACCTGCAGATGTGGGAATATATATTTTTCAATTTTTTATTTTATCTTTTTATTTTTGTTCGCATCCTCTTTCATTTCATTATCTTTAATTATCACTTTTATTTGTATTTCCCTCTTCTGCATTGCTTCTTTTTTGTGAAGCAGAGAAGCAGCGCACTCCTCACTTGCAAGTAACAAGTAACTGCTTCAGAGAACGTGGTGAAGGGTACCGAGGACGGGCAAGTTTCACCACATCAGGAATACCTTGCCAGCGCTGGGACTCCCAGACACCTCACAAACACCGGTTCACTCCAGAGAAATACCCGTGCAAGTAAGCAACAGGGAAATCTGTCCTTTAAATACATGGGGGGGTTTTGTTGTGACGGACCGCCTGGCACCCCGACCGGGTGCCTCCGCCAAGCGATGCTCTTAGTACTCACAAGTACTCCAAGCACTCCACCTGACACCATCAACACCGCAGTCCCCATGTCCAGTGTTACAGCTGTCCTCCACCCACCCTGGACCCAAGACCAGGATACAGCTTCCAGTGGGTAGACCTCTCCTCCAAGAGAGTGTAGCAGTATGCTCTTAAAAGAATTATAATCCAAGGGTAGTATAGGGATATAGTAATCCACAGGGTAGATACAGCAGTTTCCACCAAACATGAGATGACTCTATGTTGAGGGTAAGCAGGAACTCGTTTAATGGTAGCCACAACTGGCCTTTTATGCAAGGGGCACTCCCCCCTGGACCTGAGAGTAAAACCAGGGGCAGATTAAGAGCCCAGTGGGCCTGGTGCTGACAATTATGATGGGCCTAACTATAGACTCTTATCGACCAAAAACACGAATAGTCATACCTTCCAAGCGTCATATATCTGGTGGAGGTTGTGCTGGAAGGAAACTCATAGGATGCAGCTATAAGAAAACACATACCCTATGCTAATCTTTCTAATTTATTCTTTCATCTTTCAAGTAAATAATTACCCCCCCTAACAGCAGTGTCCACTGAAGCAGGAAGTCAATGGGCGCAGTAAAAGGGTGGGCCACTGACGCGATTCATGTAACCATAACTGCGGAAAGGGGCGAACATGCCCAAAAAGGAGGCGTGTCTGGCCAACTAAGGGTATACTATGCAGACAGCACCCTGAGCTTGGCATAAATGCGTCTGATGATGCGCTCGCTCCATGCTTTCAAAGAACTGTCCCCTAGAACTCACATGTCCACTTGTCTCCTTACCTTCTTATTAGCAGACAGAAGCTCATGTGTTATAATCAGGCACAGAGAAAAGGTGGATGTAGTGAGTGTAGCAGAAAGGGGGTATGCCACAGTGTTAGCGAGACCAAAGTCGTCATTACCTTAACTAATTTCATTTTCAGCCAGTCCAAACAGATTTTGTTCCCATATATCCCTCTTAAGATTCCATACTTAAGCAAGAGTATGTGAAGAATGTAGTTTTTTTGTTTGTTTGTTTGTTTTTTTTAAGAATTTTTTTTTATTTTTTTTATTACTATTATTATTATTATTATTATTATTATAATAAATCAATGGGCCTATTCCATGGGCCAGGGCCTAGAGCTGTATCTCCATCAGCCTCTGTTAATCTGGCCCTGAGTAAAACCCAGTAGAAACAAATACACAATTACATTTGCTCTCAGATCCAGGACACTCCCACACATAATCGATTAATCCCTCCTCTGTACCTGGGAAATAATTGAGTCAAGCACTGATCTTAACTCAATTATCTCCAGATACAAAACACACAGGGGTTCAGGAATTCCCTGGAAGTCCTTTATTTGACCGCCCGCTTGCATTGTCCCATGCCCAAAACTGTTCCATAGAATCAGGGCTTGCGGTCGGTCTAGTTTGGTAGTTTAAAAAGTAAACAAACTACCGAACGGAATCCATAGTTCTACACTGGAGCTTGTTCACCTTCTACAGATGAACGATTCCATCAAACAGTGTCTTCCCAAGTGTTCTAATACCAAACACGGGCGATCATGGAAGTCCAGCGGTGTTCGTGAGTTTCAGTGTCCAAAAATAATTCCATGAACTCGACGACAAAACACAGCTGCCTGCATTCATGCGAACAAGATGACCACCACCTCGTGGTCGTCCATAGGAATTGCGGCCACCCAGACCAATACTTAGAACACTGCGGTGGAAATGTTACAAAGTATCAATTGGGCTTAACAAGCTCCAGGGTGGTCTCCGGTTCATGCGGTTATTCAGTAACCGAACCATATAATCCCAATTGCACGAACAGTCTTTTTAAAGTATTTTAGCCAGGTATATTGCAGGGGCCATAGTCCTGGGGCAGGAGGCTGTCATGCAGGCTCCTCCAAAAGCCTATGGCGAGGTTCTGTTTGCCACAGTTTTTATTATTATTATTATTATTATTATTATTATTATTATTATTATTATTAATTTTTTTTTTTTGTAGATTACCTACACATAGTACAGGCAGGAAAATTTTATTGAAAAGCAAATGTAGTAGTTTGTAACTTAAAGCAGCTTTGACATCAAAAATACATTGTGTAAGCATTTCCCAAATAAACTGTGACATACTCCTATTCACTGTGTTAGAATATTAGTGAAATTATTACACACAGAATGGGATGGCAGATAAGAACCATTTGGCCCATCTAGTCTGCTAGTCAGTTTTCTAAATAAGTTCATTAGTCCCTGGTCTTATATTTAGGATTGCCTTATGTCTATCCCATGCATGCTTAAACTCCTTCACTGTGTTAATCTCTACCACTTCAGCTGGAAGGCTATTCCATGCATCCACTACTCTCTCAGTAAAGTAATACTTCCTGGTGTTTTTTTTTTTAAATTCTTTATTTTTGTTGTTACATAGTATCGACATATGCCACAACAGCGTGTCTGAGTATGTACTTAAGTTAAACAGTGGCATGATGAATTGCACAGTTTTGTATAATAAGTCTCAAGCTTGGCTAAACAATGTAGACATTAGAATAAAATGAAAATTGAAAAGTCATCGCTTAACAGTGCTAGGCTAGTTATGCTAACATAAAGGTTTTAGCTCCTAAGGATTCTTCGGGTACTCTTATAGTAAACAAACCACATCAACATTAGCATTATCATTTTGCTTAGGTTGTCTAGCGGTGTCTGAGTGTTCTGCCTGCTTAACTGGTAACTACTGTCATTTGTGAGGCGGTTGTGGTGTAGTCGTATGCGTGTGTATACCTCAGGTGTGTGAGATGTCGTCTTGTGCTGGTGGGCAGTGGTAATAGGTGCGTGGTGGGGGGAGGCGGAGGCTTGGCGCCTCTGGCTCATATGTATAAGTGGACTTTGGTATTGTGGTATCGCTCGTCCGGCTGAGAGTGTGTTAGTAAAACCCTAAGTTGTTTAGCCATTTGGGTCCTTGAGTAGGGTCTTTAGCTTAGTGGGCGCCCTCCTGCTTATATTTCCGTGGTTGGTCTGCTGTGGAATAGTGGCTGGAGGAAAATGTTAGTAACAAGTAAACTAGGCATTAGGAGAGTTAAAGAACACTATAAAAATACTTTAAAAAATTAGTTAAATAAAAAGGAACATTAACCTTTCAGGTGGAGTCTCAGCAGTCTATGTGAAAAGGTACTTATGTGCCGCGGGGGGTGCTGTGTGTGTGTCCTGTAAATGAGGATCCAGGCTCATGTTGTGGCTGCTGCATAGGGGTCTGTAAGAGGCCGTCGAGGCACGATCTCTGGAGCACTGGCCACGTCTCTTCAGAGGGAGCGCGTGGGCCCTGTCGGGGGCATCGATGGGTCGAGTGAGTTCGTGGGAAGGTTTAGCAGGTTCAAGGTTCTCCTGGCTTCTTGCATATCATGGACGTGGATGTTGCCGCCTCTATCTATGTGGATGGAGCGCCCTGGTCCCCAGCGGTACCTGAGTTGGTGTAGTCTCAGAGAATGGGTCCAAGAACAGATCCCTGAGGTATCCCACTGGTAACAAGACCATGCTTTGAATATACTCCATTGACTACAACCCTCTGTTGCCGGTCACTCAGCCACTGACCTACCCATTCAACAATATTGGAATATAAACTTGAAGATTGCAGTTTATTGATCAGCCTTCTATGTGCAACAATGTCAAAAGCCTTACTGAAATCTATGCAAGCAATATCTACTGCACCACCCTAATCTATAATTTTAGTTACCCAATCAAAAAAAAAATCAATTAGATTGGTTTGGCATGATCTCCCTGAAGTAAACCCATGTTGTCTCTGATCTTGAAATCCATGTGTTTTTAGATGTTCAACAATCCTATCCTTTAACATGGTTTCCATTACTTTCCCCACTACTGAAGTAAGACTTACTGGCCTATAGTTCCCCGACTCATCCCTACTACCTTTCTTGTGTCCTTTCACTGTCCAAAGTAATCAAAAGACAAAAGTATAGATCGTTGTGATCTATATTGTAATTGATTCATTGGAGTTGGGTTATTTTGTTAAACTGGCATTCTCAATTTTATTGATTTAAAATACTGAAATAGGGACATTTTCCCTAACTTAGAATATATATTTCTAGCTTAAGTTTTGACCTAAACTTGTTCTCTTGTAAATTTTCTACAAGTAGCAGTTACGTGTATGCACCCCAATTGTGTACATATGTAATGTCTGGTTTTTGCATAAACCCTTTTGTATTTGATCACAGGGGTTTAGATGAAAATTACTGTCGGAACCCTGATGGCTCAGAAGCTCCATGGTGTTTCACCACAAATCCCCATATGAGGATGGCATATTGCTTCCAAATAAAGAGGTGCCCAGATGATGAGGAGCCAGTAGGTAAGACTATGAAAACTTCCAATCCAGCATTGTTAATTTCTTAAATGGATGTATACACAGAGTGAGTTCAATGTATAAACAGAAAAATCAACTAAAGGAATGGTACGGTCCGCCACACATACCCCCTCAAATGTTGGGGCTCTCCCAATCTTGAACTCCTGTCCTAGGGTGGTTTTCTGGTGTCCTGCATCTGGGAACACCAGAGAACTGTGCACAGCATAACTGGATCCTTAGACTGCTCATGCTGAAGGAACTAAAACGGGGATATCGTGGTTTTTATTATTATTTTATATTTTGTGGGGGGGAATTTTTGTTTCTTTTTAGTAGACCACCTATGTGGAGTACAGGAAAAACTAAAATGTAAATATTGTATTCTGTAGCATGCTGTGTTTGCCACCAAAAATGTGTATGTGTGTATGATAAAGCTTAAATATTTGAGTACTCATATTGAATGTTTGTTAAAATTCTTACGCAGTCAAAATATATCATGAGCGTCTTAGATATGCTTGTGCTGTGCTGAGGGCACATCTGTCCTACTAGAGAAATTTCTGACTCTATGGCCTGCCCTGTGTTTTTAGTGCACATGTTATGTCTGGCTGTCCACAGCACTATTTACTTCTTAAATGCTTCAGTAGCATTTACTGTGAAGAGGGAATAAAGTGCTGTTTCTTATGGAGAAGTGACATTTGTGCTTTAACCCCTTAAGGACACGTGACGTGTCATGATTCCCTTTTATTCCAGAAGTTTGGTCCATAAGGGGTTAAAGGGACACTAGACTCACCATAACTGCAGCTTAATGTAGTGGTCCATAGCCTGTCCCAGCAGTGTTTACATTGCTGCCTAGTAGCACATTAGGTGTAGTCACTTGTATAGGAAGCACATCTAGTGGTTGTCTAAGTGCTACATTGTGTGCAACACTTGCTGTCAGCTTTTCCATGCTCCTATTTAATACATCTCTGAGATGCTGAATGGCACCGTGTGCGCCTGGGCAATAGCATCCCACTGCTTTCCTATGGGAGAGCATTGGATTGGCGAAGATCATCACGATTGATCCGTGAAGGTGGGGCTAGTTGTAGTGAGAACAGCATGGCAATGGAGAAAGAATAGAGTAAAAATGTAGCTTACTTATCATGTGGTGGGCCGGACAACTAAATAGGTAGTCCAACAATATAGTGTTAGGATTACAAACATGTATTCATGACACTGTATAGTTTTCCTTTTAGATGAAGGATCATTCTTGTACAGTGGAGTCTGAGAATGTGGAAAGCACGTTCTTAAATAAATAAAAATCGGCACAGATCAGAATAGTTAGTGTTCCCCCAGGTACCACATATTGTTCTACACATTGTAGTCAATAAGTGTTTTTGTAGTTACATTGACATTGAAATGAGTAATTCGCTGAATAATCCATAAATTACCCTCCATTGACAGCTTTGTTTCCTCTGGTTTATACAGATTGCTATCACGACAATGGTGAGTTGTACAGTGGGAAAGTCCGCAAGACCAGAAAAGGGGTCACTTGTCGCAACTGGAGCGAAAAACTGGACGACATGACGTAAGTTGTGTGACCACGTGGCATGGTTTCATGAAGGGAAAGTAAATGCTCACATAAATATGGAAGTCAGAATTTTGCCTAATGGAAACTTGGAGAGGTGATTGGCACTTTAGAGTGTACCTTAAAGGAAACCTAGTTTCAATAGGGCTCTGCCTCCTGGCTGAAGATTACACTAATAATTATTTTCTATTCTGGTAAATCCCCAAAAAAGGGACTCCGTCATAGCGAACCACTGTAATACAACACACAGACTTTGCTTATGGCTCCATGCTTAGCCGCATTGTAACATCTATAGCTATCACTTTTATATTTCCCCCAGGCAAGTCCCAAATTATCCTTTTCCTGGATACCTGGATGGCAATTACTGTCGCAACCCTGACAAGGACAGCCATGGACCATGGTGCTATACCATGGACCCAAATACACCATTTGACTACTGCTCAATTAAACCATGTAGTAAGTATCGGAGTCTGTTGTGATGATTTGCACTGCTATCAAGCATGTACGTGTGTCTATATTTACCTGACACATATGTCAAATGGAGGCCAGATGAGCCTCCTTCATCTGTCACATACTTTCAATAATTTTTCTTTCTTCTCTTTTGTAGGTGGAGAGAAACCACTGTCCATAAAGGAAGCGGGTAAGAGACCAACTTATATTGTCTACCATATCACTAATGCTGATTTCAGTAACTTTACGAAGTTGATATCAAAATGTTGAGTTTAAAATAGTTTACGGACGCTGCATTCAAGAGCACAACAACTTTAAAGTGTTTAAAATGGCATGCATCATAACAGCACAAATAGAAAATAGTCCAGAAAGATCATACTTGAGATACTGTAGATTAATCACTATCATTCGATCAGGAAAGTGAATGACCCTTGCACTCAGAACTTGGGTCAAGCCTAATGAAGGCAAAGAACAGAGAGAAAAGCAAGGCATTACCAGACCTTCAGAGGTGGCCAGTGGTCCCTAGATAGGTGAAATGGTCTATGAAAAAGTCAAGAATGCAGACCAGAACAATCCGCGCTCAAAGATATATAAAGTACTGCTTAATCGATTTTAAAATAAAATTTTATGGGAACAGAAGACTGTTAATTTTGTATCTCACCTGAGTAGTCCTTGATTGATCAGAAATAAATTGGCAAAACTGAAACCATGACGAGGCAATATTCTGTCTGGCGGTGATTTAAAATAGAGAGTGGGACATCCTTATTGGCTTGTCATAATTGCACTGCCAAAACCTACAGGTGCTATGATACACAAATTATGTAACGTGTCTAAATAGTCAAGGAGGGACAGAGCAGAATAAAATGACACCGGGAGTAGCGTCCAGCATCAGAGTTGCCGCAAGGATGATGTATGGTTTCTCCAAACCAGAGCTAACAATTTTAGCCATGAAGCTATTTTGGTGTATAGATCAAAACCCTGCAGTTTCATTGCTCAGTTATCCGCCATTTAGGAATAAAATCACTTTTGTTTCTGTTTATGCAGTTTTAGCCACACCTCCCCTGGCTGTGACTCACACAGCCTCCATGAAAAAAAGTTTGTTTCAATCTGATCTGAGAGCATTATAAAGGTGGTTTGTTTATTTTTGGCTGCTCTGTTCATTTAAATTGAATCACACACCTAAAGCTCTAGCAGACTCTTAATAGAGCATGAGTTAAGACATTCTAAATTAACAGAATGTGTAAGAAAGGAAATGTAAACATTAGATGTTTATTTTGGGAGACTGTGTAGAAATAAGGGTAGGGGTTGAAAAAGCAGTAGACAGGACAACTGCAGCTTTTGCAAGCGGTCTTCATGTATACACCAATGGGGGGGAGGGGGGGGAGGGAGAGGGAGGGAATTAAATGCTTGCATGTTCTAATTTGGCATAAATCTATTAAACCGTGATGGCTTTTAAAAAAAGACTCTTGGCACCCAGACCACTTCAGCTCATTGAAGTGGTCTGGGTGCAATGTCCCACGTCACTTAACCCTTCAGTGGTAATTATTGCAGTTTCTGAGAAACTGCAATAATTTACATTGCAGGGTTAAGTCCTCCTCTAGTGCCACTAGAGAATCCCTTTAAGCCAATATTTTTTGGGTGCGTTCATTTAAGTTGACTACATTATGAGCAACATTTGATGTGATATTTTGTATGTATATCACCCTTTCTAATTTTCTCCCACAACTACCTATTACATTGCATCCTTATTTATTTTCCTCTGTAGAAAATATTGTATTTGATTCGTGTGGTAAAAAAATTGAAAAAACAATTAACCGAGCCCGTATGGTTGGTGGTACACCTGGAATCTCACCCTGGACTGTGAGCTTACGAAACAGGTGAATGGTCCATACGAAAAGCCATTAAAACCATTTTTTGTAGGGAAAAGGTGTGTTGTGCTTTTTGTTTTACCTGATGTTTCCTTTTTTGTTTTTCCATCAAACTATAGGCAAGGAGACCATTTCTGTGGGGGTTCCCTAGTGAAGGAGAATTGGGTAATCAGTACAAGACAGTGTTTCTCTTCCTGGTGAGTAGAATATTGATCCCATAAGACTTGTTATGGGCATATATCAAAAGCTTTTAACCCTGTGCGTTTATAAATAGCTTACTGCATTGCTTACTTGATATTTAACATAAAAAAACGAGAAACAAACAGAGCATACAAATGTGAAAAAACAGATGTATTGGACAGTGTATATCTGGAAATAACAAAGTAGTCGGTCAGTTGGAGATGATATTATAATAATGAGACCAAATTCCCTATATATAAATTAGTCAAAAAGATATTAGTCAAAAAGGTATATACATATGACAAAAAACCCTGGATGATGCTAATTAATATATAGATCAGTTGGAGATGATATTATAATAATGAGACCAAATTCCCTATATCTTTTTGACTAATTTATATATAGGGAATTTGGTCTCATTATTATAATATCATCTCCAACTGATTGACTACTTTATTTCCAGATATACACGGTCCAATACATCTGTTTTTTTTCTCATTTGTATGCTCTGTTTGTTTCTCGTTTTTCTAATTATTTGGGGTTATGCCCCTGGAGACTTCTGGAGTCTCCTATGGTACTGGGGAGATCTATCTATACCAGTGACGCCTACTTTGGTGGACATTGCATGGTTAAGATCGACTTCCTATCTATACTTTTTCTTGATATTTAACATGTATTATTTTGATGGCAATAATGTTACCACTCTATATAGTATTAAACAGTCAAGTTTCATACATGCAGCAAAAAAATAATGGATGTGTATGAAATACTGCGTTTCCTTGAGATGTCAAACATCCATCAACAAGCTATGAATTGTAATCCTTTTCTCTGTTTTCCACAGTGATGCTGACTTAACAGGATACGAGGCTTTGGTAGGAACTCACTTGAAAAATCCTGCCCCCACAGATACAGACAAACAGTCTGTGCCCATTAGCAGGATTGTGTGTGGGCCCTCTGACTCCAGCCTTGTGATGCTGAAACTGGAAAGGTGAGTACCTATGGTATTTCATTTTCTTAGAGCAGGAACCAAAATTGACCCCTTCCCCCCCACCACCCTCCTGTTAAGATACCTTCTAGAACCCAACACATGTATTACATAACATTCAATACTCTATCTCTGCTGTAGGCCTGTCAAACTGAATACCAAAGTGGCTCTCATCTGCTTGCCTCCTGAGAGATATATTGTACCATCAGAAACCAAATGTGAGATTGCAGGTTGGGGTGACACCCGAGGTAGGTAAACCTAAAATATAGTGAAACTCTTTTTAGTGTGACCATGTTCATCTCAAACAAAATGTTCTTATTTCAGGTACTGGCCATGAGAATGTGTTAAAGGTGGCGGCTTTCACTGTGATTAGTAATACGGAGTGCAATACATACATCAAAAACAAGGTGCTGGATACCGACATATGCACAAGACCCCTGAAATTGGAAGTTGGTGCTTGTGAGGTAAAGGAATTTGAGCCTAGATGGTTTTTATAGACTATTTTCTCTTGTCCTTGGCCACAGAAACGAAAACCAGGCTTACTGAGTAAAACACAAATTGTGTAGAATTTTACAAGGAAATTGTAACTTTTTAGATATTAGCTTAATTTGGAGGTGGGGGGATCTTTAAGTTTGCTTCCCCCACCAAATTCTTCATAATTCGTGGCTTAAAGGGAAACTATAGTCACCTGAACAACTTTAGCAGCCTCACTGCTCAATCCTCTGCCATTTAGGAGTTAAATCCCTTTGTTTATGAACCCTAGTCACACCTCCCTGCATGTGACTTGCACAGCCTTCCATAAACTCTTCCTGTAAAGAGAGCCCTATTTAGGCTTTCTTTATTGCAAGTTCTGTTTAATTAAGATTTTCTTATCCCCTGCTATGTTAATAGCTTGCTAGACCCTGCAAGAGCCTCCTGTATGTGATTAAAGTTCAATTTAGAGATTGAGATACAATTATTTAAGGTAAATTACATCTGTTTGAAAGTGAAACCAGTATTTTTTCCATGCGGGCTCTGTCAATCGTAGCCAGGGGAGGTGTGGCTAGGGCTGCATAAACAGAAACAAAGTGATTTAACTCCTAATTGAGCAGTGAAATTGCAGGGGAATGATCTATACACTAAAACTGCTTTATTTAGCTAAAGTAATTTAGGTGACTATAGTGTTCCTTTAATGGGAAAAACATTTTGGTATTTTCATTGTATTATCAACAAAAGTAAGGTGTGTGTGTGTGTGTGTGTGTGTGTGTGTGTTGTTTTTGGGTTTTTTTAACTCCAGACCCCTAAGGCACATTAGCACTTTTCTTTATTTCTCTTTTTTAAAAAATTTTTTTTTTTATTGCAGATTATATAGATGAAATAGAAACTTACACTTTTCTAAATTAACCTTCTTACACCCCTCGCTGTCAATCTGACAACCGTTCATGTTACTTCCTGGTAGTTTAGTTCAGTGGAGCTAAATTCAAGAGGCAGGCAAGACTTCTCATTGAGCTGCATTGGGAAGACTGTAAATGGGTAGCCAAAATGTCTGGGCTGGATTAGAACGGGAGGGCTTCAGATGAGATCTGCAGCTTTTGCAATCTGTCTTTTTAGTTAAATCCACAATGAAAAAAATCATAATAAAATGCATGTATGTTGTCATTGGGAATAGATCTATGAAACCATGATTGTGTTTGTTTGGACTGGGCAGTGCCCCTTATTAAAAATGGTATCTGAGATGAGATCTGAACAGTGCTTCATGTGTAATGGTTTGTATTTAATTGACCTCCTGACTGTATTTCTGAGCCATCATATTCTCTATCCCACAGGGAGACTATGGAGGACCACTTGCTTGCCTTACTCACGATTGCTGGGTGTTGGAGGGTGTCATTATACCAGCCCGTGGCTGTGGAAAGATAAACCAACCAGGCATATTCACCCGAGTCTCTATGTATGTGGACTGGATTAATAAAGTCCTGAAGATGGTCTGATACGTTGCAGACAATAATTTCATCAGTACTTCAAGACCACCAGCTTTGCTTTATCCAAGAACCATCATAACCGGATTCAGAGAGACTGTATTGTACAATAGATCGCAGAGGAAATTGTATATTTACCATATAGCATAGGATGAGCTAACTGATTGGAAAGGGATTTTGAGTATTGGGCACTGAAATAAAAGGTAGGAGGGGGGATAAAGTTGAAACACTGGACCAGATGAAGCCCTGCCCAGCTGTAAATATTTAAACTTTACATAAAACGTTTTTATTTTAGTGTAGAGATGTATAGTTTTGTTTTTTGTTTTTGTAAATGTTTTCAAATCCACTTCACATTTAAAAAGTAAGGATTCTCCACAAGAGGGATGGTAAAGTTTCAATGATCCAAATAGAATTGGACTGCAACTTCCACTATTCAGTCCTTGTTAATAATTGTAATTCAGCAACAATGCAATAATTCACACGCATGCAGATCCTTCTTGTTTATCTGTCCAGTGTCTATTTTGTAAACTAAGAATTTTGAAGATTTGACAAAATGGCTAAGATGGAAAAGCAATCGAATTGGATAACTTTTTTACTTAGGCCCAAAACTAGTTTTTACCTTGTTAATGCTCCACAATGATCAGTTTAATGAACATGCTGCATTGTACACCTTTGTGGCTGAGCTGAAATTGAGCATTTTGTTTGTTGCTGTATATGTATAATTGTTTATATTTTCTTTTATTTTTTTTTTTATTTTTTTTGCCTTGCCACTTTGTAGAAGTGAAAACCTTTTTTAAAATGTAGATCTTGATTTTCAACAATAAAATCTTGCCGATATGCTCCCTTTCTCTTCCTGGTTTGGTTGCTAACCGCCAAATGTGTACTTGTAAGCAAAAGTACAAGGCGGATATTCTTTTTATATAGATTCTATTATTTATTTATTTTTTAAACTCCGCTACTTATTTAGAGCAAAAGTGTGCTTTCAGGAACATACAAGAACACCTCATTTCTAATGTTACATTGTTATGTTGATGGTTTTCTGGTTTTCTTGCGAAGCCCCTTAAGAAATCAAACCATGTCCTTTTAAAATGTAATTTTACAATATTGTGAGTTGCTAACAATATCTCTATCCTGGTGTGAAAATGAACTGGCCACCACTCGTCCACATCATACCCAAAATATTTTTTTATTTTTCATTCTTTCTTTTATTAAGGCATGTGAGTTGGGTTACAGAATGAAGAAAGGAAATGTACAGGTTGAATAAAAGATAGGGATATCACAGCAGTGGTGAACATTTCCTAGATAGTGATGCCTCATTTTTTGTGGGTAGTTAGAATTTAAACCCAACAGTTTAGCGTAGGTAAAACATGAGTAGGTGCACAGGATTAAAACATTAGTAGGTATGCTATATAAAAACAGTGTGTAGGTCAACTGGAGGTAGGATAGGTACCCAGGGCTAGCTAATAAGGAGGACCTTCGGAACTAACATGTCAAACAGTATGGTCACTATGCCACTAGGTGCTGGACCTCCTGAGATGAGTGTTAGTAGCTATACCAAGCTTGGTTAGCTTGCATGAGTTTAGTAAATTATCTTTTAATACATTCAAACATTAGCTGGCTGTGATACAGGACTAATTGCAAGGTATAGCCATAGGTGAGTGTAACTGTAAGGTCGCAAGAATGAGTAAATATAATGTGGGAATTCCTCAACACATAGCATTGCCTCTTTATTTTTTTGGTAAACTAACATACAGAAATTTACAGTCTATGCTGACCTGGTAGAATTGACATACAGGTTAAAAGTTTGGGGAATATTGCTTATGTGTAGTAAAGTCTTACTGCATGCAGTTAAGTATAGTCAGAGTGTTATGAGGGAGTAAGTCCCCTGATGTATAGCATAAAAATATATAAACTTAAGCAGAACAATTCTTAATTACTACAACAATGTTGCACTTCGCGACTGGCAGGGATCACGGCCACTGCTCCTTACTGGTGAGAGAAGCGCATGAGTGGAGTAGGTTAAAGTGTCTACAGTGGGAGCGTGTCTCTCCTGCCCCAATGTCCCATGCTTTTACCCTATATCCTTGCTGACTAGGAGGGTGGCAGACTGTGTCATTGTCTCAGTAGTCCATGTTTGGCCACTCTGCTGCCCCAGGCCTTCTTTTAAGGCCCCTGTGCAGTTCCCATCGCTCCGGTCGCTGACTGCTCCATAAGTGAAATCTCGGGCGGTTGTAAGGTGGTAGCGAGCTTTCCGGATATGTGGGGTAAGAGTTGGGGTGCTCCATCTTTGGGCCCTCAGCCCAAGAAGGCAGTAGTGGCATTGGTGGGCTGCAGCTTCTTTGTTGGTCTCCTCTTCCTAACGGTCGATCAAAAATAAGACTTCCAGGAAATTCCTGAACCCCTGTACTGATCTGCGTGATTTTTAGATATGTTGGTAGCCCTGATCTGGGTGACCATCGGGGGATGCAACATTAGTGGTGGTTTTGTATGCTTTAAAGGTATTTTGGGGGTTTTATAAAAATTAGTTTTTTGTGTCTGGAGATAATTGAGTTTAGTTCAGTTCATGACTCAGTTATCTCTCAGGCACAGGGGAAGGATTGTCTTATGTATGGGAGTGTTCTGGATCTGAGAGCCAATGTAATTGTGTATTTGTTTCTACTGTGGCTTACTCTCAGGTCCAGGGGGCCTTGCCTGGGGACCTGCAAAGAAGGCCAGTTGTGGCTACCATTACACGAGTTCCTGCTTACCCTCAACATAGAGCCTCATCTCGTGTGAGGGATACTGCTGTATCTACCCTGGGGATTGCTATATCACTATACTCCTCTGGGTTATAATCACTTGCTCTTGTAAGAGCAGCCTGCTACACTCTCTGGAGTAGGAGAGGTTTGCCCCCTGGAAGCTGGATCCTGGTCTTGGGTCCAGGGTGGGTGGAGGGCAGCAAGAGCCCAGCCAAGCTGTAACGCTGGAAGTGGGGACTACGGTGCTGATGGTGTCTGGTGGAATGCTTGGAAGTACTCTGAGGTACTAGAAAGTAGTGATTGGCAGAGGCACCCCGTTGGTGTGCCAGGCAGTCTGTTTGCTGCTTTCACTTTAGTATTTCATTTTGTCTTTAACAATGTTGTTTTTTTTTTTTTACGTTTTATTTTATTTACACATCAGAACTTGGTATTTGTTATTGCTATTTGCCCTTAAATTTCGATATCTGCAAAATCCATTAACAAATCATCATTTGTTGTTCAAACTTTTTCTTTTTCGTTAATTTAATTACAGTTTAGTATTGATTATGACATACAGAATTAAACTACGAAAGAAAAAAAAGTACATGACAAAATAAAGTTGTGGCTATATAGGGACTCTCTGCCGGAACGGGCGTATTAAAGCAGTATTATGTATTAATAATAGTTCTTCTAGCTAGGGAATAATAAAGATACCTAGAATTATTAAGCTGTTAAGCTTTTAATCCATCTGTCCCAGTATTTATATTGATGGAACCACAAAGGGGATTGTCTAGTAACAGCTTGTTCCATCTTACATTGCATAATAATTTGTGAATGAATCTTGGATACCAGGGCCGGACAGGGGATTCCAAAGCAGCCCTGGAAAAAAAAAAAAAAAAATCTATGCCAGCCCCATAAGTCATTGTGCCATATATTGTAATATGTAAGGCTATGTCTTGCCACCATAGATGATTGAGATATATATTTTTTTTAATATAAAATATTGGTCATTTCAGAGTAAAATATTTAATTATACAGTAAGCATACTCACATGCAGACACAGACCATCTCACTGACACAAGATGATTGATACACAGCCTCATAGACAAACAATCTCACTGATATACATAAGGTAATTGACATAAAAACGCAAGCTCACTCAGTAGCAGGCGCGCACACACACACACACACACACAGCTTAATGTAGTGGCTCTGGTGTGTGTATAGCCTGTCCCTGCAGGCTTTTCAATGTAAACACTGACTTTTTAGAGAAAAGGCAGTGTTTACATTGCTTCCTAGTGACAGACACTCAGACGGTCACTAGAGGTGCTTCCTGTGTCAGTGCGGATTGGCTGAGATCCGTAGGGGCAGGGCCAGTCAAGGGGAGAGACCAGCACGACTTTGGGGGGGGGAAAAGGTGAGTAAAAATACACATACCATGATAGACACACACCATTACTCACAGACCATGACACAGACACACACCGTGACACAGACAGAAACACACACACCATGACAGACACACACCTTAAAAAAGACACACACACACCATAACAGACCATGACACAGACAGACACACGACACAGACATACACCACAACACAGAGACCGTGACACACACACACACATATTACATGACACAGACACGCACACCATGAGACACACAAACACACACCATGACACAGACAGACCGTGACACACACACATACACTGACACACACAATTTCTACCTGTGGGGAGCTCTGATGGCGGCCCCATGGGGGAGCTGGCTCTTCTGGTGGCCGCAGAGGGAGCTCCTTTGGCGGCCGCAGGGGGAGCTGGCTGTTCTGTCTCTGCTCCCAGTCCGGCCCTGTTGGGTACGCTGTTCCCCAGGAGACTTCCAATTCCTGGTTATTGATAATTTGACAGCCATATGGAGGGGAACTGAACCGAGACTTCTATCGATTGCCTTCATATCAATATGTAACAAAGCCATATTCAGAGTAAATTTTAGCTTCTTTTTTAATAAAGTAGACAGATACTGACTTGTTACTTCCCAAAGATATTGGATTAATCCCTCCATATATGTTTAAAATATGCTTTTCGTTCAGAGCATCTTCAACATGCCGAGCAAGCTGTGGGATATATTTTTGCAATTTTCTGAGAGTTTCTTTACCATCTATTTAAAGGGACTCTTCAGTGCCAGGAACACATATTAATTTTCCCTACAGTGCCCCTCTCTCCCCATCCCATGTTGCTGAAGGGGTTAAAACTCCTTCAGTGACTTACCGGAGTCCAGCACCAATGTCGCTCAGCGCTAGGTCAGGCTCCGCCTACTCTCCTCCCCCACTGACATCAGCCAGCGGGGGAGACCTAATGCAATGGCCACACACGCGCATTAGATCTCCCCATAGTAAAGCAAAAAAAGTATATATACACTTTCCTATGGAGATTTTGGTGACGCTGGAGGTCCTCACATAGCATGAGGACGTCCAGCATCGTTTAAAAGACTTTTTGGGTTTTTAGAATACGGCAGTCCCTCTAGTGGCTGTCTGATTTTTTGATTTTTTTTATAAGAAACCAGGTTGGGAAAATTTGTTGGATTATCAGTGAATTTGAGGTTTTAATATATGTTTCTTCTTTATCTATTGACCATAGAAAGGACTTATAAACTTTATTTCCTATGGTCAGGTTCTGTTTACTGATATACCAGTTTTCATTCTTAGTCTTTCTTATTTACATTTAGAATATGTGCCAATAAATTGGCTTGTGCAATATCCTGAATAATTGGGATACTTTCAGTAAGTCTATGTATGAATTTCATTTAGAGTAATTGTAGCATTTAATTCACTCAGTTGTGTCTCCGTAATTTTCAGATGAGTCTTATTCGGAAAGTATTCCCTAGGGTCCCCTTGAGTGCAAGTTAGATTGTATAACTGGAGATAATAATCATTAAAAGCCTTCCCAAACCTTTCTGGGGATAAGCATGTCTCGTCCTTGTATATAATTTTAGAAATTTTGTTTAGTTTTATTTTTGAGCTTTTTAGCATTTTGTCTGCCCTGTTACCTTTGTAAAAGAATGTGGCTTTTAATCTTTCTAGAGTTTCACTTGCTTTAATTATTAAAACATCATTTCCTATTTTGTAAGGCAATAATTCTATTTGACAGCGACTCAGAAGGGGATGCCTTATTGTCTCTTGAGAGATTA